TGTGTTTTTTAACTAGTTTTTAACTCTCTAGCAAAGCAAGAGAGAGCTTCAGCTGTTACCAGACTCATATGATGTCAGTTTGAGGAAAACATGCAGAGAAACCAAACTACCAGAAATCTATGTTTCCTCCAGATATAAATATTTATATTTAAAATGGCCACCATGCAAAAACAAAGTGTGTGATGCAAACAGAAACTAAGTTGAAAAGCCCAGAAGCATCCAGTTTCACGTGCAAATGTCAGTTATTGTAATGATTTTAGACTTTTTTTAGACTTTTATAGCAGGGAAGAGATAGCAGATATACTTTAATTTTTACTGATGATGATGAAATGCTAAAGTGAATGGTTTCTATAGATGCTGCAAAATCCACTCATTTGTTCCTGTTGATGTTTTTAACCTTAAGCAAACAATAAATGTATTGTGTCCTGCATACTGAACTAAAGTCTTAATAACAGAATTTATTCCTGGTAAATTAGACTGTATTGAAAATGTAATCGGGATTAGTGGTATTGAAATGCTAGGAATTCAGTTCCTTTCCAGTCTTTCTGAGGAACTTGTTCTCAAGCATTAGAAACAGCACTAAGATATTAAGGAAGGACTTAAAAGTGCTGCAAGTTTGAATTAAAATTAGCAGTTTTCTCCCTCTTCACTTGGACAAAAAGCCTCAAAATGCTGCTGACAAGCACTCTGCAGTTATCAGTGTCAAAAGTTAGTCATTTTCATTTAATGACTCATGTATGTCAACTGTTTGCTGTATTCTGCTGAAGGACTTCCTGTGCAGACATGAGCTGGCTCTGTTACGCTGATTTACCTAGCGATAATTAGTGAAATTATCCTGACAGAGGAGCAGTTTGGTTTGCTACTCTCAAAATCATCTGCAGGAATGCCAACCGAGACTGCTAGCATTTGTTTTCCTATGTATATGGTTGTGTATGTAGCATTGCTTTAATTTCTACTTTTTCTGTCCTTTTTCCAATGCCTTTCTTTAAGTCGTGGTAGGATCTTCACTTTCTCCTTGGGTAGCTACCAGGGTTGAACAGCAGTTATCAAATTTTCTCATCTGATGTTCCTGTTTCCTCCCTGACTGGAGGCAAAGAGGGTCCAAGTTATCAAAATGCAACCCTTGTTCTTCTCAGTGTCTGCAGCTTGAGGCTGGGAGCCCTCCAGAGATTCCTGTAAATACCATGGGAAGTCACGAGGACAGCCAGATTCTCACATGCACTTAGTACATTGTACATGAGACCTATTGTTAACTACAAATCTGACCCAGAGTGGCCAATACCCATGAGTGCTTCAGTTTTGACATAACTGTCTACAAACTGTTTCCTGCTCTCTAATTCTTTTCTGTGGTCCAGTTTTATACATGGCTGAAATACTTCAGTAACATGAACACTTTTTTTGGTGTTTGCTCCCAGAAGTGCAGTAGTCACTATGAAAAGCATAGGTTAGGGTTTCTCAACACGAGAGCTCACCTTGAAAAGATTTTCAAGTCTGTTTTATCCTTTGCATGAGCTATATGATGAAGGAGGAAAAAGAGTAAATGGTAGTATTCTAAGAACTCAATTTTTTTCCCCAAACATGTTGGTTTTTTTGTTGTTTTTTTTTTTTTTTTTTTTTTTTTTTTTTCCAATCAAGGTAAACAGTTTATGCATTGCTTCTCAAGTTTTTGAGACAAATACAAAACAGGAAGCCTATTGTTGTTAAGAATTAGTCCATTCAATTTAGACTTCTGGACTTTGGAGCATAATTTCTAGCATGTATGATACCGTAGTGAAATATTGCTGGTTCCTCAGAAGAAAGCATGTAGTTTTCCATAGGCTGCATCTCCTTTTAGGACCATTTTCTTCTCTGTCATCTATCAATGCAGTCTGCATGCCAAAAAAAGAAAAAAAAGTGGTGCTTCCAGCAAGCCAAAAACCAGTAAGCAGAACTTCCCTTGTCATCTGGCCTTCCCAACCACAAAACTGGCTTTTTTGGAGAGCACGACCTCTGACACAGAAAGGAGAAATGCTCTGCTGGTGAGCGAATGTCTGCTGAGATGCCTCACCACAGCTCTACGGGGATGGGATGGGAGCATTTTGGAAGTTTGTGAGGAGAAGATTTCATGCCGATCAGGAACAGCTTCGATCATGGCTTTGCAGTGTTGGAAGAGGAAAGTGTTAGGGTGGGGAAGGTATCCCTTCCCCAGTGAAAAAGCAGGGGAAGCCCAGACCTGCTGCACATTTGTGTGTGTGCATGCATGTGCAGCACAAGCTTGCATCAAACTAGAAATGTTTTCCTGTCCTTCACTCTGCCTGCAGTGGTTCCTGCCAACTCTTCTCTCTGTTTTCCTCACCATTATCAGCCCTGGCACTTGGTGCTTTTCCTCATGGGTGGGTTCAGATATAGCTGTAATTTTTTTGGGGGGGGGCATTTTCCCTTCCATTCCCTTCTGTCATTGGATGGAAACAGCTGAGGCTTATAAAAGTCTCCTCTCTGAGTAGTAAAATTAAAAAGTCTGTGATTGGACTCTCATCAATTCTGCTGAGGTTAACTTCTACAGGTGCTTGTGTTACATGAACAAGATAACAATCTTGTGGTGAGCTAGTGAAAACAGTGGAGAGGAAGTAACTGTTTTATAGTTCCTAGGTCAAAGTCATGTAACATTGAGGCAATAGCAGTGTGATTTTAAAGCCATGAAGAAAACCTGATCTGACTGCCACAGTTCTAGCTGAACTGTCCACAGTACTGTGTTTCAGTGACACTTCCCTCTTCACCAAGGAAAAAAGCATACTTTGGCTTCATGTTAAAAATCACTCTGCCAGTTGCATAAGCAGTTCTCATTTTGGTTTAAATTGGTGTCAGACACTGGGGGGGCTGTATGTCAAGTTGTTTAAGCTGAAGTGTAGTGTCTAACACTGTGCTAATGCTGTCTTTGGTTGTCCTGCATTGCCTTCCTCTCGTAAGCACTTGTGCTTAAGCCCAGATGTAGGTTTTGTTTTGTTTTGTTTTCTGGATTGGCCTCTCTGTGTGGCAGTCCCCTATCTTTTCCCTTTCCCAAAACAACTTTTGGTTCTGTTATCTGGTTTGGGGCTGATCCATAGCACTGCTTTCACAAAGCGAGGGCTGGCGAGAGTTGTACCGCGCCTTCCTCTCCCACCTGTGCTGGGGCAGCCAAGATGGCCAGAATCCATCCTGCTGGCATGCAGTTGTTGGAGGATTTTTCTCGTTAATCATCAAGTCCTTGAGCCTGGAAATATTCTGAATGTCTTCAACTCCTCTTGAGTCAGTGGGAGTTCATAGCACTCAGGTTGTTTGTTTGTTTGTTTGTTTTTTGAAAAATTAGACATTCTGGAAGTAGAGGCATATAAAATGTTTGTGATTTTACTTCATGAAGCTCTTCAGAAAAGGGCACAGAACATACTATAAATGAAGTATTCAGAAGGGAAAACAAAAATTTCCTGACTTATTCTTGGCACTTGTATTTCATCATGACATTTGGTCTAAGAAAATGTACAAACTCTCAACGTTGCCAATTTATTTTACCCACAAACCAACAGCAGACTGATGATGTGCACACAAAGGTTATTTATTTTGAGCATAGCAAGGGAATGTGAGTGTTCCAAATGCTTCCTTATATCTCCCCATGGGATCTGCTTAATATGTTGCATAATATTTTTCTGTATCTAAGATAGGCGTAGTAGGTCTCTTAGTTACTTAAATACACTAGTTGTGTTTCCCCTTTTCTTCTTTGAAGGAAATGTGAGTGGAGAATGAGTAGTTTGTGAACAGTGTTAAATTGAAAAGTGTAACTTCAAAGGCATTTATAACAATTTACTCTGAAGCTATGAGCCAACAGATGATGTTCCAAGCAAAATAACTGATTATATGAGAGGTTAGGCAAGCATCAATCTAGTTGTTGATTGCTTGGACTGGTAGATAATTCCTTAATAGCAAGAAAAAGAAGATAGGGTTTGCATCTCTGGCCTTGAGTTCAGGTAGACCCTCTTCTGAGGGCAAGTTTAAACATAACCTATAATAATTTCCCTAATACAAAAGCCACTGGAGTATTTTCTTTGGATGACTTTGGCTGACTCTAAACGCTCTCCATTAGAGATAGAGAGCAAGGTTAAAAAAGGATAAGGGAGTGCCACAAGGAGCGTATTTTAGTTCTTGCAAATTTGTATTTCTTTAGAATAGCTTTGCTCTTACAAATTGTGAGAGTATTTGTCTGGAATATGAGGCACAGTTTGACAGTGATCATATTACTAGGGAAAGCCAGTGGAGTTTAGTGGGCCAAATGTATATATCATTAACTTCATATCATGAGCACATGACAAGATATGACTGCAATCACGCGACTTCAGCATTTACTATGTGGACATAACATTTCTTTCCATTTGCTAGAGTACCAAACTCTTTCTCATTTTGGCAAGAATTGTAAAAAGGGAGTTGTCTAAAGTTACTTTGTTCCATTTCTGGTGTAACTTGTGATAATGTTTCTGCTAAGTTTGTTGTGTACATTTGCTTGTGGCAATTGATTGGGCCAATTCTAAATTTATTGGCTAAGCTGCACTCTTGCTCCTAGCTTGTGCAACAGGAGAAAATTCCCTAACATTGACTTTTGGCTGCAGGTTTTGAAGCATTCTTAAGACCAAAACATGTACTTGTTGTGACTTAAATTTTGATTAGGAAAAGCACCTCAGTATTCTTTTTCTTAATCTGTTATCTAGCATTCGTTCCTGAGTGCTAGTTGTTGGGCTGTGTGTGAAGCTGATTGATATTTGAAGCAGTGGTCTTGCACATATATGAGTCTCACAAGTCATCATGAAGTACATGTTGTGACAGCACAAGTAGGTTTCTTTGTAGCACCTTAAATGCCCCTCCTAAACTTCTGTGTTTGGCTGGTTGTCCAACAGTCATTTGCTGTGGTTTTTATATTCATATTGAATATGCAGTTTATGGGTTTAGTTCTCCCAGGCAGAGCATGCTTTAACATAACTTGTGTTTGTCTTTTTTAGGAATAACATGCTTGGAATTACTTGCTAGTGTTGGTTACCTGCACCCTAGCACAAGAGCTCCAGCTTGATTCTTTTCAGTGCTTCTGTCAGAACATGGGGGAAAACGATGATGAAAAATACAATCAAGCTGGCCAGATATTTGAAAACTTTGTCCAAGCAACAACATGCAAAGGTACCATTCAGGCCTTTAATATTCTCACACGCCAACTTGAATTAGATCCTTTGGACTGTAAGAACTTTTACAGCAAACTGAAGTCAAGAGTAACCACGTGGAAGGCCAAAGCTTTGTGGAACAAGCTTGATAAAAGAGCAAGTCACAAAGAGTACAAACGTGGAAAATCTTGTATGAACACTAAGGTAAGTGGGAAAGGTCATTTTTGAATTCCACAATTTAGAATCTCTTAAACTGAATTATCAGCAGAAGCAAGGTTTCTGCCATCCCATGCCACATGTGTATCCATGAACGTTCCCTTTCATGTACTTGAAACTGTGTCTGGCGTTGCATGATTTAGACAGATTTTCAGATATTTTTGTTCTGGAAACACAGCACATAAGAGCAGTTCTAAAAACACCCTCTTTTATAGTCTGTCTCAGGCACAGCAGGAAAGTTTTCTGTTGATAGTAGTGTTGATCAGCCCTAGGATATAAGCTCATAAGGGAGATTTACTAATCTCAGGCTTTTAAGAACTACTTGCTTAATTAAACAGAGTTTTGCAACGTCAGTTATTACATACTCAGCAGGAGCCTCCTAAAGTGCTGCTTGGACTTAGGGATCGGTCTTTGTCATCTAGCACTGGTTCTATTTGCTAAACAAAAGTAAAAGAAAATAAAGCACTATTTAAGAAATCAAATATTTGCATTTAAATGCTGCTCTTTGTCTCTCCAAAGAGTATATAGATAACTGCTACACAGCTCTTATTAAAGAAAGTGGTCTACTTGATTGTGAAAAGGACAGGAAATTATCTTCAGCACATTGTTCAAATGCTGTGGTTTAATAGAACCACTGCTGTAAGTAATGTTAAAACTGAAGGTTCATGCCATCTTATTCCATCTCTTCTGTGGCTGGTCATTTTTAATAGCTTTATGTCAGAGAAGTTCAGATATTTACTGCCTAACGATAGCTAAACTTTGCCAAAGAAGGTCTGGTTTTAAGAAGCTGCTTGACTGTACTATTGTAAAACAGAAAGGAATAGCACTTTGGGGTGTACCTAGACACTGAACTGTGGAGGGCATTTTAGTTTGAACTATTGCTAAAGTATTTTATGGAAGTGCTAGACAGGCAGTGCTGGTGGTCTCTCTTGTGCATCATAGAACTGAGTCTTCCAAAAGCATTAGGGAGAAGGATATCATATTGCCTTCAATACATTTAGAAATTTTTATAAATTTCATTTCTAATAAGCTCCCAATTATTATTAACTTTTTGTAAGGTAATAAGTATCCTTAGGACCAATTTCTTTAGAAGAGGTATTATGTCATTATGGCTTTTTGCACTGCTTTCCTGACTGCATCTGTTTTTCTTCTTTCCTTTTTCCCATCTTTTCCCTTTGTGACCTCTGCTTCCTCCCTCTTTTTGATCTTTTGAAAAGGCTTTGAGTATGTCATTGTGCATCTGTGTGATAAAAACAGACAGGAAAGGGAAGGAATGACAGTGTGTGTGATGTTTAACAAGTTGTGGGAGATGTTCTACATACACCTCACTTGCACATACAGTCCCAAGTCCAAATTTCCATGGTTAGTTTGAGGAAGTATTTACAACGCAAAACAGTTTTAAGACTCATGTGAACTATGAAGTGAAGCCCTGCTCAGTCAAGTGTGACATTACAAAGCCAAGGCCTGCTTCTGCAAAGTCCTTCAGCCAAGTCATTAATTTCTATACATGGTGTAGAGTCGTGGAAATCAGTTAGAACATGAAAAGCTTAATACAGTCTGCATTTTAAGGTTGCCAAGCAAGCGGCTAATCAGCACTTCTTGCAGTGTTGAAAGTATGGTGTTCCTACTCTGAGGGTAAAGGTTTATTTGTAGTGGCATGGTGTAAATATTTGCAGAAATTGAAGGACATAAGCTGCACATATGATCAACTTGCAAATGAATGTAGAATGCCTGTGTATGAACAGGACACATACAAATATTCTGTGCAATACTTGGATGTTCATTATGAATCCAAACCATGCCTGGACCTGCATTTCAATGTGTCATCACTGATTTAACGAGAGAAACATGAATCTTCAGATTACTGCAAATGAGAGCAGTGACCACAGACTGTGAGCTCTTTGGGGATATCTAGCAAACATTCCTCAAATGTGAATCACAGTCTGCTACGAAAGCCTATCTATGCAATATGAGTGAGAGGAGACACGTTGCAAGGAGGCAGCAAACTCCCTGATTGTTGCCGTGGTGTACTCTTGATAACTCCACTTACAGATAAACAGTTATCTGAGATGCTGGTATACCTAGGCTGCAGTATACATACCAGGATATTCCTTTTGTGCAGCAGGAGATTTCAAATTCTTGTTTTTCTTCCATGTTATACAGTTATCAGCAGGCAAGCAGGAGTTGTGCAGGTGAAACTAAAGCAGAGCCTAGTGCTTAACTGTGTGGAGTTGACTGGGGGCTGGGAGTGGATTGGTTGGAATCAAAATTCTAGTTGTTAAAGCAGCATCACAAAATAAGCTCTTTGCTTACAGTTCTGTAAGCAGAGCCAAGCCAACAGTCATTGTTTAAAAATAAAAAATGACTTAAAGGTTGTGACCATGAGTTCTATAGCTGATTCAGCAGGTCGTAGTTCTCAGATATGGTTTTTCTGTTGGCTTCTAACAATCTTCCCAATCTTTGAAAGAGATAAAATATAATCAGGCTCTGAACTATTCCTCGTGCTATGTATGTGTGTGTCTGTTGTGGGCTTGGGAGGATTAGGTTTTTAAATTGAAAAAATAAGAACCTGCTGCCCCACTCAGTAACTGGTCAGTTTGTGCACAGTACTTAAGAGCTGAATACAGTCCTTGTTGTTTGTTGGGTTGCTTTTTTTTTTTTTTTTTTTTTGCTTGTAAAATCTTCAGCCACACTTAAGTTACTTTCATTGGAGTAACAGTATACACAAATTTCCTACATGCAGAATGTTCCATTCCAACTAAATAACAATAACTCATTGTCTTAACTGTTCTTGAAGAACGCTGCCAAATAAAGCTTTCAGAGTTTCTGCAACGATATGATTTTAAGCTGGATGAATAAAAGCAGTTAAACCATTTTCGAGACGTTCAAACCCACTGCTATGTCAGAGTAGAGTTATTTGTGGACTTTAATTTTCCCTTTCTTTGTAGGGAAAAAATAAATAAAAATAAAACACTGCAGAAAGGCATGCATAAAATTGTGGTAGAAACTTTTTTGACTCTATGAGTCAGTCAGTATGTATGCTAAATTTGTAGCAAACATCTTCCTTCTATGACAAACTTATAAATTGGGAATTAAGCTGTTCTGAACTGCTGGTCCTGGAGCTGACACTTTCTGGCATTTGGCAAAACTCATTCTGTGCTTTTTCAGATATGTCTAGAAAAAGAGCACAAATTAATTCTTGTGGTAACACTTGTCGCTCATTTTCATCTTGTTGGTTTGGAGGAATCTGCACAGAATCTGTAATGATAATTTCTTTGTGAAGTGAAACATAGCTGGACAATCAGAGAAGGTTAAAGGTTTAACATGCAATGTTCACATTGCTAGCAGCTTGAATATCTCTCTAAATTTTTGAACATGGGAAGCATAGTATGATAAGAAGCAAGAATTCATCCAGCTGTTTGCAGAGTATATTCAACAGTGTTTTCAAGACGTACATGTGTGCTCTAATCTTTTATTCTTAATTTCTCTGTATGGATTAGTTCTTCACTTCAAGATTTGCTGTCAGTTTGCCCATGTGAATGATACAGAAACAAATATGTGCATATAAAGCAGGCTCCCGCTGATGTTTGAGATGCATGCATACGTATCAGAGGGCAGGACCTGGTTCATGCTGAAATTCTGGCTCTCCCACGACTGCAGATCTGTGCTCGAGGAGAGCAGAAATCTCTTTGTGTGAAAACATCCCAGACTTGCTCTGAAGGGAGGTGTTGATTCTCTAAAGCATGCAGATGCTGTTTTTTCAAAACACACTGATACTCGAGGAGAACTAGGTAGACTTCTTTAAGGAGCTAATGTGTAATTATTAGTTGTCTTGGTAGACTCTAGCATTTGTCTCTGGGTGAATCCAGTTTTTGATTGTGGTGGTGTACATGGATAGACAGTTGGAGTTCTGGTTTTAAGGCCTAATTAGGCTGTACTGGCATAAAATGAGAAAATGAAACTGGGCTAGGAACTTTTAAATGTTGTGTGTATGTAAATGCATATGTATGGACATTTATAGGTATATAAGCATATACATGTATAGGTATCACACAGATTCCTGCTAAGCAGATGGAACAATTTAGAACTCAGTCCCTGCTGTCTTCTCTAGCTTTCCTTGTTCCTGGATGTGGCCTTTCAAATCTTGTTTTATAATAGATGAACTTCCTTTCCAAAAACTCCTGTTGAGAACGTTACTGCGAGAAAATGACTTAAAATCATTTATGGCTACATTTCCAGGGCTTGTGTAAAGCCATAGCGGCTCTTCTCGGTAGTGCTATGTGCTGTCAGTCCTATCCAGACTCAGTGGCATTGGCAGCTGAGCTGTACTGGGAGACTCTGTGGGCCCCTCTGTTGGGGTGCTAATTTGGAGAAGTGGTGTTAGGGAGGAGATTGTGTGGCTTAATGGGATGTGGGAGTGGAGTGGAGTGGAGTTGAGGGCTGGGATGTGAGTCATCCAAGGAGGAACTTGGGGTCTGAAATGGGGATGGAGGCTAGAGGCTTTGTGACTGACTCAGTGCTGGCTCTGAGATTTGTCTGCCTGTACTAACCATGCTGGTGCACCCACAAATGATAAAACTGGATTGCCAAACCCCATTCATTTCTTTTCATATTGTTCTCAATTCCAAAGACTGTCAAATGCATGCTTAGGGGATTAATAAAACCTACTTCATCTGCTGTTTTCCTTCCCGCAGTGTTGAGAAAGCAAAAGATATGCCTGAGGCATGCGGCTGCTGCCACGTTATGTAGCCACAGGCTAACCAGCAGGATGAGGAGTGAATTCCAGGCCTCTCTCCTTGTTATTAGGTAGAAATTGTCTTCTTGTCAGTGCTCAGTTGTTTACAAACATCCCATTGTAGCCTTGCCCCTTGTAGCAAAAGAGTCAGGCTGGCTTGTGGATGTCTCTCCCCCTCTACACATTTCTATGAAGTTCTAAACAAATATTTGTCTCTTAGTTAATCAAATCATCCTGCTTGTAAAAACCTGCT